TTCTGTAAGAGGATGACAGATTAATTAAATATACATAGTAATATACTAGGATGTTCAAATTACTTTTTAAAGAAATCTTTGTAATCTTCGATTTGTTTTAGAGCAATATAATTTGTTTTAACTAACAGCTGGTTGAATAGAAACTATGGAACTATGAGGTTATTTTATTTTTGTCATTGATTATAGGAAATAAGTAAGATTAGTAGAGATAATTACAACACAGTTTTAACCACAGTAAAAATCGAGGCTCTGTACACTAGTCTTAATAAAAAAAAGGATAAATGCAAATTATTTTACTGCTCCACTTTTCAAGGAAAGATTAGAAAAATAACAAAGTTTACATGTTTTAATTCTTCATTGTAGCTTTTTGTTTACCATTAATGTTTGTCTGCTTTAACTTTGTTTGGATTAGGCCCGGAAATATTGATGTCATAAAAAGAAGATCAAGAATAATCAGGAATCACGATTTTAAATTACCACTACAACCTCAGCCGGGTTTTATACAAGGATAAACAGATGGATGACATAGATTGAACACAACGTCAACATTGACCTAGGATACTGCAATTAGACAAACCATCCTTTTATGAAATCGTGTTCAGTTGTGGTTATGTTTGGGGGCGCCTATATCAGCCTATTTATTTCAACTATGAATATATTGTAGTTTAAATTAACTAATATGGGAAATTACGATGTACATTTATTCAATGAGGGTGGGTAATTATCAAGGATAGAACTTATAACGGTATGGATAATAAACGTTGACAATTACGTCATTAGCTTTACTAGCGTAGCGTGTTTACTTTTTATATTCCTGCTACATGTGACCAGTTCTTTTTTTCAAATTAATGTTATTTGAACCAAACAGCTGTTTCAAAACAAACTGTTATTGTTTTTACTTTTCTTTGTTTACGCTTATTTGTGAAATTGATATAAAGGATAGGTGTGACGATTAGTTTTAATGTTAGGACACCAAAGTTAAATTATGTGTACTGTGAATTTATTGGATACTATCGTTTTATTTTAGGTCGTTTCTATTCAGACCTACTGGAAATTGTGTATAGTAGTTGTATTGTGGTGATAATAACTATGGAAGAGGGAGGTATGCTATGAAAGGTGGTATCGTTGACTAGGTCTATACACATCTAAATTGACTATTACTCTCTCTACTGTATGCTACTTATAATCAGTGCGCGTCTGTGCGTATCGGCTGCAAATCTCACTTCAACGCTTTTCACATCGTAAAGATTGTAGAATTGCTGTTTTATTGTAAAATTATCGGATTTAAAATGCAAACCGTATAGGCATATGATGGAATAAAAACTTATTTGGTCACACATTTGTTTACAAGATGATTTTTCACATTAAAACTGCAAGAAACTTTGTCTTTAAATGTGTAAACTAGCTGATCTGAATTGTACACGGTTTAACTGACTACTGAATTCCCGTACGTAGGACGGGCTAACATCTCGTTTGGATAAAAATGTAAAGACATACTTAGGGTTGACTTATTTAAAAGTCCTAACTTGATGGTTAACAAATCGTATACTTACATGATATATTTATCAAATTGCATTGTTTGAAAATATAAGTAAATTTAAAGACTTAAAAATCTTGATTGTAAAATAAAAATCCTAACTTGATGTTAGCAAATCTATACTTACATGAGCTTCATAGACGTCTGGTGCTTCTTGGAGTGTGGATGTTACATCTTGTCCTACATTCTGTTCCAGAGACATTCTTTCTGTGTCTGCTAGAACTTCCAATTCCAACAGTTCCGTGTTCAAATTCGGTGCTTGTTGGGGAGACAAATACTCTCCCCCAACTGACGTAAAATTTCCCACTATATTTTCTTTGCGACACATTATTTCTGTGTCTCTCTGAAGTTCAAGGTCAAAAAATTGTGTTTTCCAATTTAGGGGTCCAAGGAGTCGCATACTCTCTCCCAAAAGTTATGAAAAATCTTGTGTCTTAATGGTCTTTTCGTTACACGTTTTAGCGGTGTCCGCCAAGGGTTCCAGGTCAAATAACTCTGTGTCCAGATTGGTGCATTTGGGAGTGACACGTTCTTTCTCCCAAAAACTGCTGTAAAAGAAAAAACATATCTTTTTGGATAACCTAAAATTGAGACATATTTAAAATCCTCATTGAAACGAAGTGAAATTTAATTCAGTGACAAATAGTTGTTGAATATCAAAGTTTTCATCATCTGTGGAATCTTTAAAGGAAAAGTTATCATTATTACCGTCACTTTATGAACTGCCATATACATTTCTTAATTTGTATCGCTGCTTTGTAGACCAATCGCTATATTCACTTATTTAGCCATGTCTTTATTTTTTAGTGGATGAATTTCCGGCAAAGGGAATAACTTTAAGAAACATGTAATCAATTTATTACAACTGTTAATGACGAACTAAGCTAACTCTTGTGTCATTTTTATGGTATATCCTCTGGATCACTCGTTTTTACAATAAAAGATTTAAATTACCTGTATCCGTCAAGTGATCCTGGTTTGTAGTTAGTTGACTACATTGGTTTCGTGTTGTTATGAACACATCTTCAGGTCAAACGTTGCATTGATTTATTCGATGGAATGGTCGTCATAAGGTTTAAAGTTCACAAAAAAAAAAACACATACTACATGAAACATTAATTGGCCAAAACACAAATACGAAAAACGCGTAATAGACATCGGACACGTACGGCGCTGGTAGAAGGTAGGCAATGACTGCCCTTCTCTTGCAGTCATGCGTTTTTTACTTTCTCCCTCTATACCATAGTATATGGAGAAAGTATTGTTTTCGTCAAAATTTTCGAGTTTGAGTTTTGAGTGGATATATTCGTTTTGGGTCCCCCTGGACCCAAAAAAGTGGTTTTCGAAGTGATGTCTGTGTGTGTGTGTGTATGTGTGTGTCTGGATGTGTACAGAGCTAGAGACCACACCTGTGGTCCGATTTCGATGAAATTTGGTATGTAGGTTCTAATCCATGGTAGGCTATCTCCAGGCGTTTTTTTCATTTTTTTGAAATTTTCATTTTTAATGGTGATTTTCCCATAAAAACCCATAAAAAACCGGAAAGATTTGATTTTCTCAAAAATGGCCCCAACGATTTTGATAAAAATTTAGTATGTTGTAGCCCTTTAAATTCTGAATAAAATGGTACAAATCCCATATCTGTAAAAATTACGTTTCAAAAGTTATGGTCAAATATGTTATTTTCCCATAAAACCCCAATAAAATAACAAAAAATAGGATTTCAGAAAAAATCCGGTTTTAATTTAACATAGTATGTTAAAGTTTATAGGGTTTTGATAGTTTTTTTTTATTTTTTAGGAATTTTTATTTTTAATGGGGATTTCCCCATAAAACCCCATAAAATAACGGAAAAATATGATTTTCCCAAAAATGGCCCGAACATTTTGATAAAAATCTAATATGTTATTGTCCTTTATATTCTGAACAAAATGGTACAAATCCCATTTCTGTAAAAATTACGTTTAAAAAGTTATGGTCAAATATGTTATTTTCCCATAAAACCCCCATAAAATAACAAAAAATAGGATTTCAGAAAAAATCTGGTTTTAATTTAACATAGTATGTTAAAGTCCATAGAGTTTTGATAGTTTTTTTTATTTTTTTGAAATTTTTATTTTTAATGGGGATTTTCCCATAAAACCCCATAAAATAACGGAAAAATATGATTTTCCCGAAAATGGCCCGAACATTTTGATAAAAATCTAATATGTTATAGTTCTTTATATTCTGAACAAAATGGTACAAATCCCATTTCTGTAAAAATTACGGTTCAAAAGTTATTGTAAATTATGTCATTTTCCCTTAAAAACCCCATAAAATAACAGAAAAATCGGATTTCCCAAAAATGGCCCAAAACGATTTTGATAAAAATTTAGCATGTTACAGTCCTTTAAATTCTGAACAAAATTGTACAAATCCCATTTGCGTATATTTACTCTCACCACTTACACACGATAAAGGTTGTTGACAAACGTATGGGAGAAAGTATGTGTCAGAATGCTGATACCGTTTATTGTATTTGTGTTTTGGCCAATTAATGTTTAATGTTTCGTGTACGTGTATGTGTTATTTTTGTGAACCTTATGACAGAACCTCAGGACCTGAAAATGTGTTTATAACAACACGAAACAACTGTAGTCAACTAACTACAAACCAGGATAACTTGACGGATACAGGCAATTTAAACCTTTTATTGTAACTCTAGTGTTCAACCAAATGCAGACAAAATAAAATACATAACATAAATAGTACACTTACCACGATGAAAATAAATAAGCTAAAGTAAATCTTCTGTTACGGATTTTTTTTTATTCAAAGAGTCAAACAATAGCTGCAGTGAGGCTGTCACGAACTGTCAGTCAAGAGTATTTATGGAACAACAATCACTCTTGTATGGCACGCGGATGGTATCGTGTTCCCACCGTATACTGCTAGTGCTACTGCAAGACTGTTATAGTAAAGGACCACGTTCAGAGTATATATCCGGGACAGTTTACGTAATGTTGGTGTTTCTCACGACAACAACATGTATTTCATTTACATCATCTTTAATTGAATACAAAAAATGAAACAAGCTCCTTGTCATAATGCAACTAAAACGGTTTTTAAAGAGTCAGTAATATTCGAGTATATTACAGTACATTTTCCAACTTTAAAATTCTTCTGATGATTAGCCAGCCCAAAATAGCAGATAGTAGCCCAAGAAAATAGCTCTGATGAATTTAAATGTTATCGTATAGAATTATTTTGCAACAATCATGGTATCTCATTGTATATTCTTCTTCAATGTATACCCTTTTATCGATATCCAGACTGATTAAAATTATGCAAATAGAGTTTCAGTAATTTTAATGTGAGTTTCTTATTGATTTTACAATCAGTGTGTTACTTTAAGTTAGGTTTATGAAACCTATACCAAGGTTTGAACGTGTAAGGGAATTATAACAACATTCTTTGCATTTTTAATACTATATTTGTACATAAAACAGTATACAAACGTATCACATTATCAGCAATTTCTGTGTAGGTTCTATGGTTAAAACAGAAGTTTGGTAGCTTAAGTTGATGCTAAGTAGCCTACTAACGATTGTTAGCGGACCAACTGAGTGTCTATGTTGCTATTGAAAGCTATATTGTCTTTTGTTGTATACTGTAGGTTTTTAAAATATCTATTTATAATAAGATATGTCCTGACAATGAAAGAATTGATAAATAAGTTATGTTTCTCCTGTGTCGTATGAAATATTAAAAACCCATAAGCTTGTAAAAAAGTAATTTGAACTTAAGTTACAAAATTTATTTAGGTGTAATAGTTATATAATCAACCTATTTGTTAACAGTTTACAAGGCTACGCATCGCTAGTAAAATACATAGTAAAATCAGCACCTAAGACTATCAATAAAAACTTTATAAAAGTTCTAACTAAATATACAACAGTGGGGTTCTGTCTACATTGCTTTGCTTTGAAACGTACAATGTCCACGAATTAGACTAACAATACTTACATTTAACAACGATTTATTCTTCTCTTACATCAAAATAAACAATCTTACATTTAATAGCTCCAAAGTATAAAAAATACAGTTCCCTATTCATTACCAAAGTAAATATAGCTATAAATGTACAATAACTATATATAGTTCCTACATGATTATATTTATATAGTATCACAGCAGGGCAGCTTGTCTCTAAGTGCTAGGTTGGATTGCAAGTATGAAACAAATAATAGCAATATTGTAGTAACGGATCTTTAAATAGTAAATATAAATGTTTCGGCACAAGTAATGAATCTATAAAATAGTGTCTTTATTATATTGCTTTGTTCTTTATTTTCAACCGTCTGCAAAGCCCAGTGGTTCGGCTGGTAACTTTCAACTCCGTAGTTTGATGATTCGATCTAGGGAAGGATTTTCTCAACCCAGTTGCCATTTATCGTTAGGTTTTAGCTGTTGATATTATTTTATAACAACCAAATGACGTTAGATAGTAACAAGGTTGGGATCGGTTATAAAAATAACAAATGTGCTTTGACATAGTAAAATACAAAGAGTTACTTAGATTTGAAATCAATTAGATTCAAATTATTCAATTAGAAATCAATAGATTCGAAATCAACATAACTTAAGTAGGTTCCACCCGCTGACTGTTTACCACTTCCTTCAAAAATAACATCCTGGCATTATTAAAGTGTGAAATAAACTGTAAAATATTTACAAAGATCTAAACTATGACCTGGCTCAACTGAGACTTCGTAATATTTTCTTTAAGTACAAAATACAAAATAGTTTTGAAAATATGTAAATTAGTCTTTTTCGAATGCGTTTTTAACTACTAAATAATAGTTAAAACTTATTTTCCTCCACCCGTTGCAAGCTCTGATATGTTAAGAGCACAAGAAGCACACAATCATTGGAAACAAATTAGTTTTAGAGTGTTGAGAGCTTGTACCGTATCGGCATGTTTAGAAGAATTAGCATGTTTAGCCGCCATCTTGAATTGACCAGGTAGAACCCTCTTAATACGTATTTTTGAAAGACCCGTCGACAAAATATCTATAAAAAAAGAATTAAAAAAACTGAAACAGTATTCCATTTTTTTAGAGAAATGTTAGGTTAATATAAACTATTAAAAGTGTGTAGGCCTGTAAGTAAACAAATACTTTGGTCTGAGCTAAAGGAAGCCACACGCTTTAAAGTAAGTGTTTAAGTAACTTAATATACTGTTTAAAACTTAACTTACTATGTAGCTTAAGGTAAAGATAAAAATATTATATTATTGCATTTTATTGACAGTCATAGAGTAAAACCACAAGTGACAAATTACCTGTTTATCAGTACTAATAATCTTGCTGAAAAGGAGTTTAGTGTAATAATGAATCACTCTTCACGTTAATTTGAGAACAATACAAATCCCAACAGTGCTAACTATTGTTTCGAAATAGAATAATGGAAGCTTTTCATATACTGTCCATAATCCTTTTACACTGGGATAATTGAACGACAAAAAGATTTACAACTGGATTATCTTGACAGCGAGCTTAATGATTTGATCATTTGTTACAAGATGTCTGTAGTATTTATTGACCAGAAACAGATATAAATTACATAAAGGATGGTGTGCAATTAATAACTAAAATTAATAAGTTATAGGGCACCATACACAAGTTACATTACATTTAAGTCATATAAAAGCAAAACCGCTCTGTATGACGTGTTTGGAAGTGTACACTCAACAATGGAGCAAAGCCTCAACAATTATTTACATAGGTACTTGTAACGCGTATTTACACTATTTGCTGCTCTTTAAGAATATTACAATACTGTAAAACAATAATTAGCTACAACAGTTTTACGGTAGAAACTAGGCACTCTAGTTTCCGCCAATCAAAACTTAGCAATAGGCTAAAGCTTGATTGCACAACCTCACTCAAACACGCTTTGAAAATCGAATATGGATGGATACGTATGATTTAGATAGTTAATTTCAATGTTTAAAGATCGCATGATTATACGAAAACTGTAATTGTATACTGTAATAGTTGCTTTGATAGATATGTTAAATAAAATAGGGACAAAAAAGGCTTATTTGTTGATTACATTATTAAAAATTAGTTTAGCTGTACAATTTGTTGCAACTGAACAGTTAAATTCTTCTTACAAAAACAAACGGCTTTGAAGAAATTAATAAGAATAAATTCGTTCCAATTCAAAACTGCGTGTCGGCAATGGCAAAACTAGACCGCCCAATCTCTAACGTTGGACCATCATTATACATAATTGAGCGGGGAGTTAGTCTTTGGACAGCATGTAAAGCAACACGGAAACACACACTCAATAGTGTCTTTGAACGCCTCTCTGAAGTCACGGTTGAAGTAAGCGTAGATGAGCGGGTTTAGGGCGGAGTTGAAGTAGCCAATCCAGAACAGCACTGTTACTACAATATCTGGACAGTAGCAAGCGTCCCCACACAATGTCGTGATCACATACCTAGGTAACAAACAGGAGAAACTGTTATTAGGAACAGAACAGTAACTACAATATCTGGACAGCCCACACAATGTTGTGATCACATACCTAGGTAACAAACAGAAGAAACTGTTATTATGAACAGAACAGTAACTACAATATCTGGACAGTAACAAGCGTCTCCACACAATGTTGTGATCACTTACCTAGGTAACAAACATGGGAACCTGTTATTAGCAGATTAAGAAGAGCACCGTATCTACAATATCTGGACAGTAGCAAGCGTCCCCACACAATGTTGTGATCACATACCTAGGTAAGAAACATGAGAACCTGTTATTAGCAGATTAAGAAGAGCATACCGTATCTACAATATCTGGACAGTAGCAAGCGTCCCCACACAATGTTGTGATCACATACCTAGGTAACAAACATGGGCACCTGTTATAAGCAGATTAGGAAGAGCACAGCATCTACAATATCTGGACAGTAGTAAGCGTCCCCACACAATGTTGTGATCACATACCTAGGTAACAAACATGGGAACCCGTTATTAGCAGATTAGGAAGAGCACAGCATCTACAATATCTGGACAGTAGCAAGCATCCCCACACAATGTTGTGATCACATACCTGGGTAACAAACAAAAGAACATGTTTTGGCAGATTAGGAAGAACACAGTAACCAAAATGTCTGGACAGTTGCATGGGTCCCCTCACAATTTCGTGAACACATACTTAGTTCACACACAGAAAAAAATAGTACACATTGGGTAATAACGGCCCAGTTAGGGTCGTTTGTTTAATTATGTATGGTACATAGAAAACTGAATTTTAGGCTTTAACTCATATTTTAAGCCTAATAGGGGGCTTTTTTAAATTCAAGTTGGTAACACTGGTGTCTATGGTTGTTACCATAGAGTTTAATTGTGTTCACTTTGGTTGTGTGGGGGTGTTTATGTGTACTGTTTGTTTGCTGATTTGCTTGGGTATGGCGTTTTTACACGTTGATGTCCAAGAAGTTCTGTTAGCTGTGTAAGTTTGACTTCAAAGCAGACTGCAGTGGGTTTGGTCCGCTTTTCCTTAAAAGCGTTTGATATATCTTAGATATGGCAATCAAATATCTTAAATGGGACAAATGTACCCATTTTAAATATATTCATAAACATGTGTTTTTGTTTAACAATTTAAAGGTCTTGTGCATTATTTTTTAAATCACTCGAAGGAGGTTCTTAGATGTATATTTTAGGTTTTGGCTTTAATTCATTATCGTGAAACTGAAAAACTAAACATATGCCTACTGTATTAGATGTAGTCCTTTGTTGGGGAACCTGGCAAATGGTCGTCAACGGAAATCTACCTAGCAAGCAAACAAACAGCAGACTTTCTAGGGTCAGAATAATATTTGACGATGTCCCGACATTGGTGTACATTTTTATTCTTAACAATACACTTTGTCCCGCAACTTACCACAGAAAAAATGGTAGCCAGCACAGCATGAAGGCGCCCATGATGATGCCTAGAGTGCGAGCGGCTTTGTGCTCCGTTCTCCAGCTGCTGGACGACTGTTTCACCACTGTCCCTGTGTAAATACACATGACCATAAACACTAGCCTTAACACTGTAATTCAACTAGGCATGTATTTATGCTTAATACTGTACTCAAATACTAGGACAGACTATTTAAGGAAAGAAGTAAATTTATAAATGTATTTCAGCTTGAGTAGAGTAAAGTTTAAATGGCGTTTGTAATGTACTGTGTTAAATTTTCTTAAAGTAGCTTCAATTACATAATCATTACTCATCACCACACAAAGTTAACAGATTCTCCATTCTTCACCTTGGCAAGTTAAACGAACCATTTCGTAGTATCTGTTTAATCAAATTTTAAAATATTAAATGTATAAAACCATTTAGTCTGTATTAATGCCCAGCACGGTGTTCATTTTTTAAATATCTTATATAATTATTAATATCTTCATTTTTTTATATTTATTTAAGTTATGTAAAAACGCGCCTAGGTGGCATCTCCATAATCTCAAAATATTAATAATCTTCGTAATAATTGGTTAAAAATCTTGTTTTTTATTTTGATTGGGAACATAGTGCATAAACAAATGTGAAAAAGCAAACCAAAATATTGACTTAGATTAACACTTTTGTGTAAATATTGTATTTTTTATTAATACTATTTGAATTATTAATGACATTTAGAAAAGTATGAATATGAAGTTACTAAACTAATGTTTTTATTGATATATGACTTTAACGTAACTACAAAGCATATATAACTATAAAATATATATAAAACAGTCGTAGGCAATACAGAAACACCCTAATTATCACGAACTTGAAAAATACACTGCTCTTTTTTAAATATAGTAATAATAATTCTGTTATACAGTACAATGTTGAAATTCATATGCTACGAATTCCACAATCCAAGGTGTATTCAAGCACATGAATATGTAATGGGTGACCAAGCCGACTGTGCATGTGGGAGACCACCCACTCACTATTCACCACATTCACCACTTACTCATACCTACCTCTAGCTACATACGTCACCATCCACAGTCCACATTCACCACTAAATCAAACCCCTACTTCCACTCACCATTTGCCACATTCACCACTTACTCATACCTACCTCTACCTACATACGTCACCCTCCACAGTCCACATTCACCACTAAATCAAACCCCTACTTCCACTCACCATTTGCCACATTCACCACTTACTCATACCTACCTCTACCTTCATACGCCACCATCCACAGTCCACATTCACCACTAAATCAAACCCCTACTTCCACTCACCATTTGCCACATTCACCACTTACTCATACCTACCTCTACCTTCATACGCCACCATCCACAGTCCACATTCACCACTAAATCAAACCCCTACTTCCACTCACCATTTGCCACATTCACCACTTACTCATACCTACCTCTACCTTCATACGCCACCATCCACAGTCCACATTCACCACTAAATCAAACCCCTACTACCACTCACCATTTGCCACATTCACCACTTACTCATACCTACCTCTACCTACATACGTCACCCTCCACAGTCCACATTCACCACTAAATCAAACCCCTACTTCCACTCACCATTTGCCACATTCACCACTTACTCAAACCTACCTCTACCTACATACGTCACTCTCCACAGTCCACATTCACCACTAAATCAAACCCCTACTTCCACTCACCATTTGCCACATTCACCACTTACTCATACCTACCTCTACCTTCATACGCCACCATCCACAGTCCACATTCACCACTAAATCAAACCCCTACTTCCACTCACCATTTGCCACATTCACCACTTACTCATACCTACCTCTACCTTCATACGCCACCATCCACAGTCCACATTCACCACTAAATCAAACCCCTACTTCCACTCACCATTTGCCACATTCACCACTTACTCATACCTACCTCTACCTACATACGTCACCCTCCACAGTCCACATTCACCACTAAATCAAACCCCTACTTCCACTCACCATTTGCCACATTCACCACTTCCTCATACCTACCTGTACCTTCATACGCCACCATCCACAGTCCACATTCACCACTAAATCAAACCCCTACTTCCACTCACCATTTGCCACATTTACCACTTACTCATTCATACCTACCTCTAGCTACATACGTCACCATCCACAGTCCACATTCACCACTAAATCAAACCTCTACTACACACTTTATTCCACCCTTACCTAAAGCTATTTTACACATATAATCCCTTCTCATCACTTTTCCAAAACTATGACTTATCAATCTAAAAATCATCACTAACTAGGCTCATTTTGAAATAATATTTTTCTAAGTTCACCAATTATTAGATTTTTTCTCCATCTACAAAAATCTTTTCCCATATTTACAAACTCAGTATGAGAGACAACCCCCCCCCCCATTTTCTCACCCACCATATGGTACTACCACTACATTTCTCCACGGCTTACTGTAAATGAAACTGACATGTTAACACTACCTACCTAATTTGAATTATTTATGCTGCAAAAACAGTGTTTGTTAGAAAAGTACGATTATGGCTTTTTAAGCAGTTTCAACACCGTTGGAATACATTTAGTTACTTATAACTCATTTCTAGAGTATGCTTCTTCTATAAAATGTAGGTGATTTTATGGAAAGCAATTACACCCTCTCCACCTTACCCTACCATTGAAATAACAGTTGGACAGTTGTTTTTAAGCTTAAACCACAAATCAGCTGTAGTGGTGGTGAACCCAAAGACTTTCCCCTTAAATCGCCTAAATTTTGTGAACGGACTATCAAAACATCAGTAAACTATATACAAAATGTATCCTGAAAATTGCAATTGCAAAATAGGGATTTATAAACATCGAAATATTGCCTGAAAAATACAGAACCACGTAGAGTTATAAATCAGATGATCGTGCAGTTGCATCTATCGGCTTCGGATGCGGGATACGGCGGGAAATTGAAAGTAATAATTGCCGTTTAATCGTTTTTAACGGTTGAACAAATCCGATTTTCCAAAAAACATCATCATTTTCAGATTTATCCAGTTATTGCTTGATAAACATCAATTACATATTTTTTGCTGCAATTTTAAGTTGAATTTCAAAGAAAACAAGGTGTATTTAACACGGATTTTAATTTTAATTCACCTAAGTCACTCATTGAGACGCAATGTAAATGTAAGGGAACTTCAACTGAAAAGGTTTTCGTATCATAATAAATAGGTGAATAAAAGACGTAAACCAAATGTAATATCCCATATAGCTCTGCATACAATATACTGTATAAGTTATAAAAATACTTTAGTTCATAAGTTTAGGCAGCAAATAGTAATAGGTGAATGTGCAGCTCTTATGTTTTCAGACAGAAATGTATGGTGGCCATTTAAATATTTGCTACATAACCTACAGTTGTTACCAGTTTGGCATTTTTACTATATTATCTACAGACTGGTTTAAGCCAATCCTGTAAAATAATATTTGTAAAGTAAGGTTATTTTCAAGATAAATAGTTTATTGTTTCAAACAACACGTAGGATCAAGTTTCCAGTAAAAAATAAATAAAATCCAGAACCAATGTGATTAAATAAATTCGAAAAATACTTGGTATTATGAACAAGAATAAAATTGCCTTTAATCTTAACGGATCTGCCTGTAACATTTTAAAATAAAAGTTATTCTTTAAATTGTTATAGGTATAATCTAAAGAGGACAATTTCGAAGACAAGAATATACAGGGTGACAAAAAAGTCTGGAAACGGTTTAATATCTTTTTAACTAAATCCGTTAGAAAATTCAAACCTCTCACATCAACTTACGTGTATGAAAACTACTTTTTCCAAGCATTGTAATTTTTTTACCTCTACCAGGGGACGACCCATGAGGAGTAGGTACATAATCTTTAATGTAAGCATAGGTTGATATGCACACCATTTTAAAGAGTTAGTCAAGTGGAGTTCATTGCCGGAAACCGCGTCCAAAAAGGTTCATCCGTTACAAAATGGCAGCTGTCCAAAGTTCTTGTGAAATATACCTGCACAGGCCTTAGTATGGGCAAATACTCGTATTAAACATTAGCTTGAGAGCTTAAACTGTATTTTAAAGTCAACTAGCTCATAGACTAATAGTATTCAATCATCAAAACAAATTTAACCCGGTTTCAGATTTCCCTGCTAATGTTGACTATGAGTATTTACCAATAATAAGGCCTCTGCAGGTATATTCCGCAAGAACTTTGAAATGCCGCCATTTTGTAACGGATGAACCTTTTTTGACGCGGTTTCCGGTAATGAACTCCACTTAACCAGACCTTTAAAATGATGTGCATATCAACCTATGCTTACATTAAAGATTATGTACCTACTCCTCATGGGCCGTCCCCTGGTGAAGGTAAAAAAATGGCAATGATTGCAAAAAGTAGTTTCCATACATATAAGTTGATGTGAAAGATTTGAATTTTCTAAAAAATTTAGTTAAAAAGATATTAAACCGTTTCCAGACTTTTTTGTCACCCTGTATATAATATAACATGTAAAAGTGGTATTCGTATGTAATGTAGTAATCGGTCATACACAACATAGTTACTGATGTCATTGTCCGTTTAGTGGAACACTTATTGAAAAAAAAAACAAAAAAAAACTATTGGTCAAGTATATCTAGACTCGACCAATGTGACTTACTAGACACCTTAATCTTTTTGTTACATAACAGGTTTTAGAAGCAATCAGCCAAATATTAAAACAGATACTAAATTTTTTTTGCCTTGCTTGAATCACAGCCCGTGCCATTTGCGCGGCCAGCGGTGAACGGTTCTCGCGCATATGTTCATAGTTTATTTCCCTTTCAGCATTATTCAATCAAAGTCTGCACACAAGGACGTCATCATAATTTCGGGTACACCGAGTTTCGGGTCTATTTATGAAACCAGATAACTATCTTTAAATTTGAATTTGAATAACTTGGTCACACTCGTGGTAGGCTCTCTCACTCACCATTAGCATTGAGCTCTGCCTTGATCATAGCACCATATGTGTTGGAGCCTGCAGAGCTGTTGCGGCTGCCAGCCGTGCTGGTGGTGGCTGTACTCATGACGTCACCGTCGCTGGGGTGGAGGGTGTGGCGATAGTGCGGATGTTGTGTGCGATGTTGGTGGATGCTGTTGAGGATGATGTTGCTAGAAGTCCGTGACAACGCTTTCCGTTGCCGCACAGCCTCCTTGTATATCCTGCAACACGAACATAAGGTGTAATGGAACATTTTTTTAATGTTAAAATTATTGAGATAATAATGATAATTATGAATAAACAAATCAAATTTATTTGTATCTATTTATTAACCTCAATTAAAATATGTTATTTGTTGTAAGTTGGTTTACTAAGATAACGGTTCACTAAACAATGTTATTGAAAACTCCAAAGCAAGGCAGATCACCAGGAAAGTATATAACATTTTCAAGACACGCTCACAAAGAATTTTAATTAAAGTTTGGCCAAACAACTGTACAAAGTCGAAAGCTCATTACAGGTATGGACTTGAGGGAGGCAAGTATTCTCGTCTCTCGAACCCACGCAACCTTTATGGTCTACTTCAATTTAGATGTGGATTTACTTACAAATTGGCGAAACACTGTACTTCGTTTTTGACTGTTAATTTAGTTGATTTTTCCTTATTCAAGATGGTATTTAAGTTGTAGTAACTAACAAATTCTATAAAAACGTTTTTTAATTAAAAAGGTTTTTGTTATGTAGATTCTAACGCAACTAAAACATGATTTGATTGTCCTAAAATTTGTCAAGATCCGATGATTAGGTGATCGAGTTAGTTTAATTTACAAGTAAATTTATCATTTAACGAAATGATTTTATGATGCAATGTATACGTTTCCGATCCAAAAACAACTTGGAAGAACTGAGATCAATTCTAATTTTAATGGTTAAATAAATACTTTGGTGAACTTCCAAATAGGTATACAATCAAACCTTTGCCAAGAAAGAAAACATCAAACTTATAAACGGTGTACAAAGAAAGAATGAACAATTATAGTAAAGGACGTGAATGACTCTGTACTGAAATATTGTTATTGTAAACACCTACTTGAAGCTGAGGGAGGTGTTTGTAGTGTACAAACAAAGCCAACCTGGTCTCACCTAATTGCATATCTCAAACAATGCGGTGCACCGCAAACTAAACCTGGGATAATCTAACGTTACTGTTATTTAAATGATAATAATATAGTGATACTCGAATAATATGATTTTTAGCTTTTATTATCGATTAAATTCCACTTAAGTTAATAAACTATGGACATTTCTCTTAATTAAACACTTTTCGTGACAAAAGAAAAAATCTCAAGCTATCGGAAGGTATCTCACACTATTTATCTAAAAGGGGTTTAATCTACTAAGATTAATCTACCGTACGACCAGTTTATATCTGAATATCCAATTTTTGCACCACCCAAAAAGAAGTGAGAAAGAAATTTGGAAGTGTTGGATGTGTGTGAGTAATATTAGTAATAATAAAACTTCAAACTACTTCAGTGATCGAGTGTTTGAATCTAGTTGGGAAATAAATACCCATCATTTAAAGACTTTAAGAAAGTATCATAAAATAAAATGGTTTATTCTAAACAAAATAGGTTTGGTATAAAAAAATAGTTTTTTCTTAAGCCATTCGCAGAACTTAGCGTTAAAATTAGTGTAAATCAATCAAAATGAATACATTCTAGTCATAAACAAAATGTTTGGTATCTATAGCAAACATAATTGCTATATATTGAGCCTACAGGAGTCCGGCACTACTGAGAGGCCATTGAGCATCTCAGTGTGCATAAATGCATTTTTACCTCCTCCTAAAAAAAAAAGAAAGTAGTAAACATAATCAAAACTGTGTTCAATTAGTTCTTAAAGAGGATGATTTTAGTGATAAACATAATATGTAAAATACTAGATAATTAAATCTAAATAAATGCTCAATCTATACGAATTAAAATATAAGCTTAATAAATAATAAGAAGTGATATTTTTGTTTACAGCCGGTATTTATTTGCAACTAAAGACAAACGTGTATGGATGTCGAATTTGAAGTAAACTCTAACTTCACTGATCTACACAAAGAAATTGGTTTTATCAAGAGAAAGATTCTTAAAGATTGTTTTTGTTTTCCATGATTTCAATAGATCGTGGGAGGAAGGACCCAGGTGAGCCTCTCTCTCCCCCGCCAACTCCTGGGTCAGAGGTATTTAATATAGGTATCTTGTTTTATCTGCTTTATTATTATATAATTTACTGTTGTTATTCCATGAATTTTCGACCCAAACTAACCATCTAACTTACATTACCTATGATGAATTGTAAAATTGGTATATCCTTTAATTTTTAAATAAATATGTTGAGCCGAACTTCTATAAATTCTTTCATTTGAAACTAAGATGTGTAAATAAACTAAATAGTAATAATTCCCAATTTCTAGCAACAAACAAGTGCATCATTTTTTAAGAAACTGAGAATTTTGTCCTTAAAAAAACTATCAAAATTTACTTCGATGTAAAAATAATAAATAACTGCGATTATAAAACATACAATACTACATCAACGTGTCGGTAGATTAGGTATTATATTTTAAACATATCAACACAATTGTCGAGTATTCGCTTTGGTCGGTTTGGGGAAGTGAATTACTGATAAACAAACTTATAGGGATTGTAATAAATAGAAGACAATATTTTATACTGATCTTCCTTGTAGGTATAGTAATTAATCCTGGCAATAAAGAGTCATTTTAGAGTAGTCACATCGGTTTTAGAAAAAAATCATATGGAGTTGTCTCAGTTTTAACTACTCTGTAAAAAATGATGAAATGTGACATTTCGAAATATACCAGATTAAACAGTTAAATTCCCCTAAAGGCAATCCCCCAATTTTATGGCAGAAACTGGTAAAATTTACATTTAATTAAGACTATACTATTTTAATTGCAATAGTACTGCTATATGTAATATAGATGTATTTTTTATTTAGTATTTCTAAATTAGTCACATTCAAAATGTTAAATTATAGTAGTGCATACACCCTCTTTATTAGCCTTCATGAGGTCATAGTCCGTGTAGATGGTATTGATCTTTGTTACATGAGCTGACCTTGATTTCTACTCAATCATTTTATTGATCAACATTGTTAAGCCTCCTATACATTGTTGAGACTCTGTTTAAGAATGCACGAAGGGAAAGCAGCAGATTAGGCTTTCACGAATAATCCCCATCATCAACGGTAACCAATACAAAATACCACGTTCTCAGCTAATAAGCAATAAAAGTGAATCACAAGTCGTGTTTTTGATTCAATTATTAAAATACCTTAGGCTAATTTAATAGAATAATAAAAAAAAATCTTTGCTGCTAAAAAGAAACAGCAACTTTTGTTTTACATGGGCTTAGCTTATTGCGTAAATTTGCTGCTACGTTTAATAAAAAATTATTTTGTATTGTAAATTAAAATTGTGAGAGGAGAAAAAATTATAAAAGATCCAGGAATAAATTCCGAAAAAGAAATACAAAATTCTAGGACCTAAATATAGTTCTACGAATTTAAGTATTAATTTAGGTTACTGAAAATAAGATAACTACATACTTTTATAGTGATACATTGTAAATTTGTTTATAAAACCTTCATCATGATAGATTCTAAAACCCCTATAGAAATAATTATTTCAAATTTACTATTATAAACAAAATATTATTTTGAAATATGTGTAAATAAGTGAAACAGTTTTTAAAGGCTTTATGGCAAAATTGGTTTACCTTTTCTTGTTTAAGAACTAGACAACTAACTCATTTCATCACTTACAAGTATTGTTAGATGTAAAAAAACTCTGATATATGAATGATAAGGTATTTTATAACTAACAAGGCAGGAACAATATGTGGAATTGTACAATGTCCCAGTTTGTATTAAGCGCTTGACATTTCAGTCGCTGACGTGAGTGTAGTGTATTAATATGCACGACCTGGGTTTGTAAGTTTTGTCGACTTCAGCCAATATGTAGCCATTCCCATGATGTTTTGTGATGATTATTTTCACAATAATTTATGTATTAGCTTTTAAACTAAGGTTAATCCTGACGTAAGTGGTTCATTTTCTTAAGTTTAAAAGTTATGTTTTACTTACACTGTTATGGATGTAGATATAAACATCGTTGTAGCATCTCCTAGAACTTTACTTTTATCATTATTTGAAAATGAATAGTAAGGATAATTATGCTCCTTTACAATGTTTTGACCTTTTAAAGCAATGCCAATTTAAAACACGAGCATTTATTTAAGTCAGCTTAAAATATCTAAACAAGATACTGTGTTAATGTAAAATAGTAATTATATTTTTAATAAAAAAGGACTATGATAAACATGCAATTCGTTCAACAATATTATTTAACAATTTTTTATACGTCCCTGATCAAATAATATTTCATTAAAGTCTTACGCATCTTGTAGGTTAAATACTAAAAAAATACTTTTAGGACTCTACTCTTGTCCATTATAAATTCTATGGTAGTTTTAAATAAAAATAATTTTAAGACAACACAACGTTAAATAACAGATATACTTTTTCCAAACAGCAGATAATAAACAAATGTGTGCACTAGATTCAGGTTGTTGGTAAAATAATGTTTATTTTCAACGTCGAAGCAGAAAGCATAATTACCAAATAGGGGTTTGGAAATACGCAATTTTATACCGCATCAAAATTAATCTTAAAACGTAAAGCCTCTCCAGCTTTGTGCAAATATATTTTCTAATATCCTAAAATCCTATTGTAAATGAGACAACTTCCTAGACATAAGGAGAGGTGAAGAAATGAAGCATAGAAGAGTAAAGTCGGGCGGTCGATACCAGTCGGTCTGCAGCGCACATGGACTCGACTGCAGCATCGGTGCCTTCCCCCACCACTAGCGTTCCCTACCTCCCACCACCTCCCCTACAAACACGGAAGGGGAGGGGGGGGGGGTAAACAAAGGAGTCTCTTTGATTATGATCTTTAACAGACATCTACATCTCTACAAACAATGTATTTCAATGTATCGTTTCCCTATTTTAATTTTTACATATTAAAATAGTCATAATTAAAATCCATAAACAATTAAATATTTTTAACTACTGTATTTCGGTTGTGATACATTTTGATTAATTCTAGCCGTTTAATTTTGGTAACGATGGTATAACTACAATCT